ATTCAATAATGTTTTAAAGTCTGTCAAAGTTCACAACAAAGTGTTGACTGTATCACTATTTCCTTGATGGTTTGTATACTCAGATACTCAGATGAGCACAAGATAATAATTGTTTTATTAGCTTTCCAATTATAGAAATTTCTCCAACTAATTCATCCTCACTTTTGCACTTTAGATTGTTGGCATGGGTCACATTTTTACTTTCAGCGACTGAATGTGGCAGTCATGTTACTCAGATGATCACTAATTTAAAAATACTGTCTAAACTAAACAATTGTTTATAATATATATATTTATGTTGGTTCAGTTTGATAGAAAGCTGTTCAATCTAGTGGGCAATCTAATAATTCAGTGATCTGCATTGATTTAACGAATGCAACATCTTCCATGTCTTAAAGGTAGTATATTCAACTTGTACAACTCCTGGTCATGTGACTATTGTCATAGACATGTATTTATTTCTGCTACTCAACAATATTCTTTTTTTCTTTATTCTATCATAGATAGGCAATCATCATTTTTTGTTCATATGCATATTAGTAACACTCACAGTGTTTTTCATTAATTGGCTACTAACACCCCCATTTTTGGTTATATGTAGATTAATAATTCACATTTCTATTCATAAGTAGAGAAGTTAATATTTAATACAAAATCTAACTTTTAACATTAAAATGACATTCAGCCATTATGAATCGAATCATGAAATGAATGGAAATGTACAAAGTATGTGTGTAATTTGAATGTGATTGGCCAGGCATGTTCAAGATTCAAGTGGGGAGTTACAGACATAATGAGGTCAACAAATCCGTGTGTTAGGACTGCGGCCAAATAGATAATGAAAAACTCTGACTGAAATGTAAAATATTAAGGGATGTGTTAACAAATGGTACAGAATAGAATGATTTAAAAATTTCTCAGAATATGTCTAGTAACAAATACTTACTGGTTCAAAGTAGGCAATGGTGTAAAATGTTATCAAGTTATCTACGAAGTAAAGGAGACCTGGAATGGCCCATCTCATTAGTGATAACAAATCTTTTGTTGTTAAACAGAATACTTCTCTAAAAGAATGACCCGCTGAAAGTAAAATATATGTTTATTGATATTATTTTTTGAAAGAGAAATTAATTTAAAATAAATAATTGATTATTAATGAATTTTTGATAAAAATGATGAGATGTACCATTAAGGCACATTTTTATTAAATCACTTTTTTTGGCTTTTTGAAAACAACATGCAATTAAGCTGTGAACATTTTTATAGGACATACTTACAAATCTGTGAAGAATACTTATTATTAATTTATTTATTTTTTTAGTTGC